AATGGAAAGGAAAATGGAAACTGCCATTTAGGGTTTGGGTTTAGGGTACAGTCCCCTTAAGTAGATAGAATATGGGGCATATGGGGATCTTATTATAATCTACGCAAAGCCGTATTCTATCTACCCTAAACCCCTAAACCCTGGACGTAATTGCACAAGCCGCATCATGAACTCGTTGCAATCATGCTCGCCTTGCGGCTGGTGGTTGGTACGGTGATGTAGGGAATAGGGAATATATAATTCGCAGAGATTATATAGGGATTGTATTCCCTTATTTCTACTGACCACCAGGAAGTTGCGCACTTTGTTTTTCCAATCTGGCGGTCCTTGACGTAGATTGGGCAACCCCTCACCTATTCATAGTGGTATAGGAGCGATCCTACAATCCCCTTGTGATCTTCAGGCCCCAAACTAATATGAGAACACAGCAATCACCCAGTGAATATGGCCGCGGTCCTTAGAGTGCAAAGCTTTTTTTGCTGTTCCATGCTCAGTTTGGGGACGGTAAGACATATCAATGTAGAGAGGCCATGGTAATTCCTGGGGACGTGCCGAGTCTGAGCTTTCAGGGAAGCGATTTGCAGCTTGCCAGCAGAAAGTGGTAGGGTTTAGGGTTTAGGGGGCAGTTCTCAAAATGATCCCCCGATATTATATTTGAATAATGGCCTCCTCCTATATCTTGGTTATGACCCCCCCTCCCCCCCCCCCTCGTCCCTTCTGTGCGGTTACTGGGGGCCGGGTGTTTCGCAGTGAAAGCAGATCTTCTGCTATGGAAGAATTCGGGGTTACTCCTTCTGAACCAGAAACCCCGTTGTGTACCCTGGAGTAGCCTTTTACACAAAATCTTTCCATATGGGACCACCACTTCTGGGGAACGAATTTGACCACCCATGAATCCCGATTACTTATACGGAATGAACACGAAAATCCTCGTTGTTTGTCAGCAACCCCTTCTCTGGAACTCCTGGAGGACTATGTGCAACTTCTCTGCAATGGACCCTTAGCTCAAATCTACATCTGTAAGCCTTTTCATTTCGAGGGACTGAACTCCACGGTCCTGGTTCGCAAGATGAGCTGCCCCGACCCTTGCCCCTCCGTGGTGTGAATGCATCTGGGCTCCTTGTAGGGAAGAAAAATGGGCCTAGCTCCGAGTTATCCATATGAAGCGTGCATGCAAACCTACAGCTTGGTCGTTGACATGGAGCGTACTGGAACATTTAGTCTATCCCAGCTTTTCGCCAGCAGTCGACCCAAGCCAAAACTGAAATCTGTCCAGCTTCGACAAGTCCCACAGATCCGAGTTGTTACCACGGAGCCAACCAGCAAACCGTGACAAAGCTGCGTCTCCAGCACCACAGTAGTAGTGCAAAGTCCTGGAATTCATGATGCCTAAGCGTGCCCGAAACCGTATATCAATCCCTATTTCTGGATGGTCGCTGTTTTTAAAAACAAGTGTAGGCAAGCTCCTTTGCCACTGAGCTTCATGGCTCGAAGCTTTATCAAGCTAATGCGCTCTCACCTGCTTGGATGGTTCCGAAAACGGGGTTCCCCCCTTCCAGCCCCAACCCAACCGTGAGCCTTCAGTATTTTAGAAACTCTACATGCCCCTATATTACCTATATAACCAACCTTTTTTTTTTTATAGAGGCTCCCAAACATAAAACCTGAGGCGTGGAAACACCTAGATTGTCAAGTATATTATGACAGAATCAAAAGCATCTTCAATGTCCACTCATCGTATGGCAAGCCTTTGAATTTTTGATAGTTTCCTCCAAGCTAGGGTCCTAAACCCTAAGCCCTGAACCCTAAACCATCAGAAACCCAATTGAAGGGACCTGTTGTCTATCTCAGGGAACCTGACGCCACTCTGAACGAGCCACCTGGTTGCACGTATGTGGGTTGATCGAAAGGTCCCTGGGAAAATTGCTTAGAGGATCCTTCAGGCCTATAAGGGACTAGGGTTTAGGGGTTTAGGGGTTTAGGGGTTTAGGGTTTAGGGTTTAGGGGTTTAGGGTTTAGGGTTTAGGGTTTGGGAAATTGTAATAACAGCAATGATAAGATTACAGTAGTAATAGTCGTAAGAACAGTAGTAATAGTAAACATATTGGTAATCTGATTACCGTAGTGGACATTCCGGGAACAGGAATTTTGATCAACTACCATATGATTTTTGCAAGGCCAGGGGGCCGGAGTGTCGATCTTAGGTGGCGGAGAGATTATTGGGCCTTCAAGTGCTATTTTATTGATTGCTGTGACTATCATTCTTGTGTAGCTTTATTTGGTGTCCTCAACTATTGAATGCCGTCTCTGTACTCACTTCAGTGTACCTGGCCTGATACCAGCATTAGTCAGAAAAAATGGCTTGAGGCAGGCTCTCATGTGGAGCTTCAAGAAAGGCCCCCTACGTTTAATTTCAGTCAAACACCTCATAATGTCCCACAGATGAGGGCGGTGGCTTTCCATGTGCACTTCTGCTGAAGGCTTGGCATCACGAATGGCTCCGAGCTCACCGCCAGAATCAAGACGAGACCCGTGGTAATTGCTCCGGGACCGGCAGCTCGGGCAAGAACGTGAGCGTACCTTGAATCATCAGGTGCTCAACAGCAGTCAGAAGCCATTAAGGATAGGAGTGTTACTGGTAAGTAAGTGGCAATCAGAATGACGACAGCTGCTGCTATTATTGTTGTTGAGCTTGTGCGCCAGATCAGCTATCATTGTTGTCATCATGTCTGTTCTAAGTACGGAGAAAATGTCTACTCGCTGGGACCGCGAATACGGGTCTTCAATGTGACTGCTACAGGGCGGGGCAGTATGCAATACTACAACCAGAATACCCAGACCCCAAACAGTAAGCTCTAAACTCTGACCCCTATACTCGTAAACC